TACTACTTATATTATTAAATTGCATGAAAAACAAATGTTATGTCTGTTACGTGAAATATGTTCTACACCACGCATCTGATATTATTTTTCCCAGTTGTTTTTACGAAGCACAAAGCTACACCATGTGCTATCTGTTCTGTTTTACCACGAGTATCCAAGTCTACTTTTTAGCTGTGTTAGTTCCCAGACTTGCCGCTAAGCCACTATGATTAATTAAATTTCAAGTTTCAATTTTTAGTGCTTTTTTGTGTGTCTGTGGATGTTTATATACAGAAATTATTATGGTAACAATGTTTTCATATACCTCGTAACTGCATTTCATAATACCCTAATTTTTAGTAGTGTGTAAAGAAGCCATAAAGAGAAATATTGAGTATTTGTTTGTATTTAAGCACAAAGCTACACAATGGGCTATCTATGCTCTGCCCACGATGGGTATCGAAACCCGGTTTCTAGCATTGTAAGTCCGCTGTGCCAAAGAAGAACCTTCAGACATTAATTGCAGAACGAGCAATTTTATATTTATAAAACTTTTCATTTTCCATATGAATAATGGTAACTTCTAAGATTTTTCTATTTCGACAGCATTGATTTCAAGTCGGAAGGCATGAATTCTCAGTACATAACTTAGAGGCCTCCCCTCATTCATACAGTTACCTACCATCGTCAACAGTGCATAAAATTATTAATGTTCGTTATCTACTGGACAATGAAGGTTTACATTTTTGCTTGAGGCAAGTACGACTCAACTTGTTCTTTCTGTTAAGTAGGACGAAACTGCTTCTTTATTGTTGTTTAGTGCAAAGATCCACAAAGGGCTATCTCCACAGAATATCGAAGCCCGGATTTTAGCGTTGTAAGTTTGTAAACTTACTGCTGATCCACCAAGGGACAAATATTTTTTTTATTTTTTTGTCTGTTGGATTTTGTGCAAGCTTCCTGCTTCTTTAATTATATATAGTATATTGAGATTTCTACTGTGTAATTGGCTTTACCTTAAATGCGGTAATGTTTTTTTTTATGTTATTCATGCAAAGAAATAATTCTCCTCCCAATAAAAACAACAACAAAAAGTGTTCTTTTGAAGTGGTTGTTGACGTAGGAGAGACAATTTATATTTGTTCCAAGGATGGACGTGTTGCTTCCTGGGATTCTTGTAGTTTTAAGGAGCCCATCATCTCTAGAATATAAATGCAACAGTTCCTCCTTAGTGGATACCTTGTTTAGAGCCAGGATTTCTGAAATAAACAGCATTAACACGAGTCTATTCACATTCTTTTGTTTAGAGCTGGCTAGTCGATGATATCTTGCATTGTCGATTATAATCTCCTGATCCCTTTATCTCCACTTGAACCAGCCAGGTATTAAAGAAATTATAATATAAGAAATAGAAACAAGTCATGCACAACTGATTTCCTTGTTTAATAGTATATATTTTGCATGGCTAAATTCATCACATTATCTATACTTTCATTATTGTGAAAAGTTACTTCCACTTTCCCAATTTCACAGAGAAGTTATTAGACTAAGACAATTGAAAACTAAGATTCTCGACTCAGAATAACAGATTACAAACTCTGAATGATCACCCAACACTAAATAATAACATCAAATTGTCCCTATTTTCATTAATCTAATCATTATTAGATTCCATTGTTATTATTAGATTCTTTTTTCATTATTTGTACTGTCACTCGACCTTCGAAATAGAACTTTTTCGTTTACGGATGTACTGTACTGTTCAGTTAGAGTTATCTGAAGAATGGTATGTACAACAGTATGTATATATATATATATATATACACACATCGTGGTCACAAGTAAATAGACACCTACTTTTTCAAGAAAAAATGTAAAGTTTTCAGTCATATTCACATGAATTGATATATTTATAATTTAATTAATATCTAGTAGATCTTCCTTTCGCTTCGT